CTCTACAACAGATCTAGTGATACCAAAGAAAAATGAATATACAGAAGTAGAATAACAGAAACCCATAATAAATAAGTGAAGAAACTTCCTGATACTGTCCAGCCCCACCATTATTAATATCCTGGTATGTCATTATTCAGTAAAACTTTTTGAAAATAGCTTATTTAATGGAATTCTATCACTTTCAAACATTTTAATACAAGACAGGTACAAAGATACATTCAGTTTGAAATGAGGTGCTGAAAGTGCCGCGGTCCTGTTTAAAATAAGGATCTGTCAGTTAGGGTAGGGGTACAGTATTATCTAGTAATTATATGCTCTAAAAGTCTGATCAAGAGCCCGCTAAACTTAATGGAAAAACTCCCTCTGACTCGAAAGGGCTTTGGTTCAGAGCATGTGGAAGTACAGCATATCTTATTCACAGTCTGTGAGGCCAAATAAGAATAAAGGAAAAAAAGAGGTATTTCTACTTATATCAAAACTGCCGCCACTGTCAAACTACTTAATAATTCAAAGCTATTAAACAGCCTCTTTTTAGCAGCAGAGAAAGCCAAAAAGATTCAGTGAAGAGTCCAACTAAAGTATTATTATAATCCCTATTTAAGTCATACCAATATATCTTCAATTTTTGCTATCCAGTGAAGCAACAGAACCAGTGACAAGACACAGCCAGATTGTCTAGGATAAAATAAGAACTGACCCGAAATCTTTTTTGAAGCGTTGGGGGGGGGGGGGGGAAATAAGGTTAACCTTCTCCATCCTTTCTCACCCACATCTACACTTCGTTCTGGTTAGGTCTGGAAGCAGAAGTGCTAATATTTCATTAGAAAGGCCACCCAGAATCACAAAGTACCAGAAATCTCATGAAGGTCTATTTCTGTAAGATGCCCAATTCAGTTTGCAGAACTGCAAATAAGTTTTTGACCAGATAACTGCCTAGACCTTGGAGCCATTGGAGTTCTGCCACATCACTGTCTATATCAGGGCTAGGCAACCTATGGCATGGGTGCCGAAGGCGGCACGCGAGCTGATTTTCAGTGGCACTCACACTGCCCGGGTCCTGGCCACTGGTTCGGGGGGCTCTGCATTTTATTTAATTTTAAATGAAGCTTCTTAAACATTTTAAAAACCTTATTTACTTTACATACAACAATAGTTTAGTTATATATTATAGATTTATAGAAAGAGACCTTCTAAGAATGTTAAAATGTATTACTGGCACGCAAAACCTTAAATTAGAGTGAATGAATGAAGACTCGGCACACCACTTCTGAAAGGTTGCCGATCCCTGGTCTATATCAATGTGCAGAAGCGGTCTTATTCCACTATCATGTCACAGCTAGGGTACTGAAATGCAAGCACTCAAACTACAGTGATGAGGTTAGTGTAAGAACCTCTAAGAATTCATACAAGCACGGCACACAGAAAAATGCATAACTGTGGTCAAACATTAAGACACTGTCTTTGTTACAAATTTTAGAACTTTATTTTTAGAAGTGAAGTTAGTGTTAATGAAGAAGTGGTGCATGATGGAAACCTGACCACCAGAAAATAATTCTCTTAAGAAAATGTATGGCCCAGACAGTACAAGTTTCCAAACACTGCACCATCACTATGTCTTAACTCTTCGACGGGTCTACCTCTAGGAATGAGATGGTGTGTCAGTCTCTAGGCCCATTCAGTCAGTGGCCTCTCATAATAGCAGTCTTCATGGTGGTTTCTGTAATGCGGAGAAACTACACTTTGACCACCCAACTCATTTCAAACTGGCCATTGAACAATGATAATTACTTTGTCACTACTGATCTCAATTGGATTAAAGTAACCTTGAAGTGAAATGTTCTACTTCCAGTTACCAGTCCCCTGAGCTAGAGAGTCTCCCTTCTAATAGAATTTCTGAAAATTGCTGCTTCTTTCTCATGAGATTCTCTCACCTTATAAAAAACAAAACAACATTTTGTAAGTGAGACTTCAATTAATATAACCAAAAGGTGCAAGTCATTCTCTGCTTCATAATTGATTCCATTATCTAACACAAAACTATTGTTCATTTTAAGCACACACACAAAAAGAGTAGTAACAGTCGTATAATAGTTTAGAAGAAATGCCAGGTCATCTGGTTGAGGTCTCTTTGTCTGGTGCTATTTAGAATACACGGTTTGTCTTTCACACATACTCAGAAGTCAGAATTGATGAGCAAATGTCAAAGACCATACAGCATGTCCATAAAAATGATAAATTTCACACAAAATCATGGCAGAAAAAACCCACACATGCATCTGATAAAACCATAATGACTTCTTTTAAAATTTGAAATGGAACGAAATTAGTAAGAATCCAAAACAATTCAGCTAGCAGTATATACTTTAATTGAATGATCACCACTGTCTAAGACAATCAGAGAATTGTTTGCTGTGTAAGTCAACGCCACAGGATAAGAAAGCCCTTGGGTAATTATGGGCCTTAAGACAGGAAATTCCTCAGGTTTTCCTAAGCACAATACAACTCGGTTATAGGCATCTGCTACTATTATGTGTCCCTCTCTGTCAAAGGCCAAATCAGTGGCATATATTTTGGAGGGAAACACTAGGTTTAGACCAAAGCTATCCATCTGGCCAATGAGTTTCATGTCAGCACTGAATATCTTCACTCTTGTGCTGCTGTAGTTTGGTCCCTTAGCTATCAGGTGCTCTATTACAGCGATAATTCCAGAAGTCTGAGAAACTGCCACCTCTCTTGGGTTGCATAAGTTAGACTGGATCTTCTGAACCTTCTTTAGTTCTCCTTTTTTAAAATTGGCTGTCAAGCGAGAAAGAGCACCTGCTTCTGGATCAGACAGGATAATTTCATTCTCTGGGGTGGTATCCAAACCCCATGGCAAACAAAAGGATTCCCTGATAATTAGCTTGCCTCTTCCGTTAAAATCAAACACTTTCACAGAGCGATCTCCGCTGTCTGTGACAACCACGTGGCCATCCAATGTGACTGTCACGTCAAGTGGGTATTTAATATCATTGCCTGCATCTCCTCTTTCCCCAAACTGTTGTATACAGCTTCCACTCAAGCCAAACAGCTTAATCCTTTTTTTGCCATCATGTGCCACTACTACACAGTCAGACCCCCGACACATTGCAATCCCAGTCGGATTGATCAGCGTCCCCCAGCCTCCGAAAGAAAGGTTGAACGTTAAGCCAAGAGATGCTGATACAGCTGCTTCATCACCTGTCCCAGTTGTTGTTCCTGAAGCTAAAGGAATATTAGTTGCGCGGCTTAAGATCTCTATCAGGTGCAGCAATGGTAAGCAGTCACTTGTCTCTGAAGATTTGCAAGCTCTTCGACAGAAAGGGCACTCCAACCTAAAATTCCTTGGGTGTGCTAGAGAGAATACACACTCCAAGCATATAACATGTCCACAAGGCAAGTTCCTTGGCCGGTGTTTCTTCTTCTGGCTATATTTTTCAAAACACACTTTGCATTCAAGTAGACTGACCTCAGTTTCGTTGACCAGTTCTGTCATAATCTGCATTCTATCAGGGGCCCTGGCAGACATAGTTGCAGCTTTAAGAGGATTGTTGATTATACTGTGCTAGCGATGTGACGCTGCCATCTGGTCACATTGGACAGTCACAGGACTGTGTTACATCAGAGGCCTTCCCATAAATGCTGATGGTATGTTCCGTTTCAAAGCATTTGCTGTAGTCTCCTGCCCTCTAAAGGAAATTTGGGAAAATGCAATAGGCTGACCAAAATGTATTTTAATATTTTCTTATTGTTATCTTCACTTTTTCCTCAAATATTTTGTTTAATTTAATTTGGCATGAAAATATATCTAAACTGTAAACTATAAATCCAGTCTCATATCATTTCAACCATGGCAATTTAGCATAGCAAGAATGGTTTCATAGTCCACATCAGTTTTCAAGAATCAATACGTGATTAAAGTCCAATAAACCTCGCAAAAGCCAGAGGAAGGGAGAGGAAGGGGGTAGTGGGCAATTGTGGGGTAGTTATTCAGGATGCAATGAATGAACAGGGTTGTGTTTATCATTTTCAGGAACCCAGGCAAGAGCAGGAATTCAATCTGTTAGAGAGGCGGTTCAGACCACTGGTTTCTTCCACCTCTTATCCTGCTACTAGACAGGGGTTGGGAAGTTAGACTAGGTCATAAAGGCTTCCTGTTCTGACCTCCTGCTGTTTACATTCCTCCCATGCCCACATTGCCCGTCCAAGAGGGCCCTTCTCCACATGCTCAAAGAAAGTTAAAAGGTCCTTGGGGTTCTGCTGGAAGTGGACTAAAGCAATTAGAAAGTCTACCTACCTGTTCCTTTTAACACCATTTTACTGAACAATGCGATGACCAAGAGAACCATGTTTAATAAGATGTCGGATTGCATTTCTCATTGCTATTACTTGGCTAACCTGCAACTAGAGGCCAAGTCAAGATTCACTCAGTCAGGAGCAATGCAAGTCACCGCTGCCTGCCTAGGGGTGTTTCTATCACAGATGTATGTGAAGTGGCTACATCATGCCCTCTGTGTGCCTTTACAAAAGTACTATTGCTTGGATTCAGCCTCCTGGGAATGCTGTTTCAGGGCTAGTCTACACTGGCAACACTAAAGAGCTGCTGCGGCAGTGCTTTAATGTGGCTTCTGTGGTTGCAGCAGAGAGCAGAGAGCTCTCCCAGCACTCAAAAAAAAAAAAAATCACCTCAACGAGGGGTGCAGCTCCCAGCGCTGGTGCACTGTCTACACTGGCGCTTTACAGCGCTGAAACTTGCTGTGCACGGGGGGGTGTTTTTTCACACCCCTGAGCAAGAAAGTTGCAGCGCTGTAAATTGCCAGTCTAGACAAGCCCTCAGACTCACCATGTTCCAGAACTTGTTTCTAAGGTAGATGGGATCCAACTTCCCCCATGCCCATAAAGTGTTGATTTTTCTTTAGGGATGTCTCTTACATGGCTTAGACTGCCAATTTTTTGCATTGATTTTGTCCCTGATTACTGTCTTTGTTGGCAAACTTGAATGTTAGGTCCAACCCTGGACTTTTAAGGAGTAACTTGCTCCTTTTTGTATTTATATTTTGTAAAACCTCCTTGTTCACACTGTAGGCCTTGGCCTTATTACTGCAGCTAACTTCAGCTTTACTTTAATTTTCATTTTCAAATATCCCTTGAGCATCTCATGGCCCAAGAGTGAGAATCGCACAGAGATAGTATCACTGGAGAAGAGAAAGAACTTCCTTCAACTTCTTCTCTGAAAATATCAAACTGCAGGACACTCACTTTGCTTGCCTCTCCTCAGTGCCTGGAGGTTGCTTTTTGAGAGTTGCTTTTCTCTTGATCCTTGTAGTTTATTATTCGCCAAAGCACATTGTTGATCCTCTGTAGTTGGCTTATCTTTCTGAGACGAGTGACTCTCTTGCAAGCAAAGGAACTGACTGGGATGCTGGGAGAGCAGTATTTACATAGCCAACCAGTAGGGGTCCTACTTTGCTCTCTACCCTGGGGTGGGCAAACTTTTTGGCCCGAGAACCATATCTGGGTGGGGAAATTGTATGTAGGGCCGGGGGTTGGGGTGCGGTAGGGAGTGTGGGAGGGGGTGCGGTATGCAGGTTGGGGCAGAGGAGGGGTGTGGGGTGTATGAGGAGACTCAGGGAAGGGGGTTGGGGTGCAGGAGGGGTGCGGAGTGCGGGAGAGGGCTCAGGGCAGCGGGCTGGCGTGCAGGAGAGGTGCGGCAGGGGGCTCAGGGCAGGGAGTTGGGGTGGCAGTGGCGCGCACAGGGGCCAGGGCAGGCTTCCTACCTGCCTGCCTGCCCTGGCCCCATGGCCCCTGGGGGAAGAGCAGGGAGCAGAGAGCTCCACGTGCTGCCCTTGCCTGTGGGTACCTCCCCCAAAGGTCCCATTGGCCGTGGTTCCCCATTCCCGGACAATGGGAGCTGCGGGGGGAGGTACCCACAGGCGAGGGCAGTGCACGGAGCCCTCTGCTGCCCACCACCAGGTGCCACAGGGACGTGAATTGCCGTAATTTCCCGCAGGCTGTAGTTTGCCGACCCCTGCTCTACCCTGTCACCATCAACTTCAAGGGTTAAAAAAAACAACAACAAAACCTTAAAGTTTCATTAAAACGATCACTCATTACTGGCTACAACTACAAATATCCTGAAAGCATCAGACCTGAGTCTGCAGCTCTTTGAATACGTTTGCAACGAACATCAAAAGCTTGCCATAAACAGAAATGGAGGAAAACTGCCATGTATTTCAAAAGTCCTGCTAATCTGTGGATATCTGCAGACCGTGTTTGCAGAGCACTGATCGGATGTAGATACAAATACACTGAATGCACAGCTAAATCTTTTAAACTGGATAATCTCAAATTTTTCAAACAACTGTTTTAGCTATACCTGCCTCTAAAAAATAAAAAAAATTATGAGCAAGAGACATACATACTTGATACAAGACATTGCTTCTACTTCCAACTCTAATGTTCATAACCCCTGGCTGAAGGGGCACATCCCCATCCCAATCAGGAGAAGGCTAATGAGTTCCTCTGGGCTCAATCCCTACCAAACAGACGTGCCTGCAGAGCCTACTCCAGCCGGAGGAAGCAAGCTTAAAAAGGAGAGCTGATAACGGGAAGGGGCAGCAACCAGGAGGAAAACTGCTGTGCCTCAGAAGGAGTTGATTCATGTTATGGAGTAGGTGAGAGGAAAACATCTGACTAGATTTCACCTCCCAAAGACTTTCCAAAACCCCAAAACACCCTTGAAAGGGGAAAAGGGCTTTGAAGCTGCCTGAGTGTGACCCCTGAGGAAGGCCTTACCCATCACACCCTTTAAATGTCATGTTGTAATACTGTAAATCAGCTTTGGTTTCAGAGACCCTTCTCCGCATAAGGTAATGGGGGATCGAGAAAGAACATTAGACTCTGTCAGCATCCTGGTCAATTTTAGGTGATTTTAAAAATTAATCTATTATTAGGGACTCAAAACTAAAACTCCCTTTTGCAAAGTTGTACTAGTGTCTATAAACTAGCGATGGGAGACCCTCAAAGATGTGAGTTCAGATAAATATCCTAAAGCTCATATGCTTATCCAAACCGCAGAAGGGTCTCTATTAGGGCCCACAATCCACATTCTCCATACAACCCTTCTTCTTCCTGTGGCTGGACTCTTAATTGTTGTACAGAGGGGGAAGATTATCACAGTTATTGAAAATTTCAGGTGGCATCTACTCCCGGTGTCTTCTGCTCTCCTCTCAATTGATTTACTTTCCTTACCCCTCTTGCACACCTCTAGTTGCCTGTGTCCCCCTCATCCAGTCCTGGCTGCAGCTGAATATACTGCTTTGCTCTCTGCCAGCCATTCTCTACTCTGCATAACACAGAGCAACAGAGGTAGGGAGAAAAAGACAGCAGCCACCAAGCAGCCTCCTGCCTCTTCTATTTAGCAGCCACTAGTGGCAGGAGCTCAGAATTACAAAAAACAAACAAACTTTTCAAGCTGCAGGTGTCAGCACTGCATAGTTCCTAGGTCACAGGTTGGAACTATGAACAGCTGGGATGGGACTGCAAAGCTCCAGACAGACAGACAGACATTGGTAGCTATGGAGAATGGTCATTTCTTTATATATATGACTTTTTAATTTTAATTATTTGAAATAATACAGGAGACAAAGGTACAAAGTTAAAATGATGGAAACTCTTTATAAACAATGTGGTTAAGTGCTATGCATCTTAAAATACAGATACTGTAAGTCAAATCAGATGTACAGTGTAATTGACTTTGAAACCATAAAGTCTTCAAAAGACAAAGATGTTCCATAACCCAGTTTTCATACCCTGAGGTGTTTCAGAATTTCCAAATATCCAGCTCATTTCCAAGTGAGATCAATATAATTCTTCCCGCCTTGCTAATAAATTTTGTCTCTCTTGTTTCATCAAGACTTTAAGGTAAGCAGATATGTTACCTCCAGAAAATAATCTAGTCCCCAGGCTTTGTGCTGGTCCGAGAAGTCATCGACCTTCTCAAGACACTTAATTTCACAGACTTTTCCTGAAAAGGAAGAAAAGCAAGGTACAGATATGATGAAAGATTATGATAGATTGTTTTGCTTTTTTTAATCATGAATTTTTACGCTATTAGGAAAAAATCTCGCTGACTTAACTCATTTGTAGACTAGCATAAATAAAGTGAGTAGGATTTAGCCCTCTCTCACAATTGTATGCCACTGTTAATTAAGAATAATTCATGGTGTAGACATTTCAGAGGTTTCAGGAGGGTGTAAACTACAGGAACTGTAATACCAAAGCTTAATGTAAGGCATATCAAGGATGAAATGTCAGCCTTAACTCAATTTTCTTGTTTCAGTAGCTTTAAGTTGGATCTTTAATTCCCTTAACGCAGTGTTTTCCTAGCATCATACTTTTTTTTCCCTGCAAGTTAACTTTGGTTTCAAAATTATAGCAGAAAGCACACAGGTGGTGAGGAAGGTTCCTGTGTTAAATCTGGGTAAAAGGAGCAGATAATGGGAGTTGGGGGTGGTGGTGATGGGGGCAACAAACCAAAATGTTGGAACAGAAAGGACATGAGAAAGTGACTACAAGAGCAAGAGTGAGAAGCTGTGGGAATAAGAATGAAAATTGGGATCGAGTTTGAATGATTGGAGACTCAGCATGGAAAGTAACCTTGGGCCAAAAAGGGACAGTATATGTCTTACTGGTAGCATTGGTTCAAATTTCCTTTAAAATGTGTATTTAAACAATGAGCCTGTATACCTTTTAGGAAAGTGATGTTTTTCCCTGATATCAATAACCCTGGAGTGAAAAGGATATTTATTTTCGAACTATATGTCTATATTATCTCCAGATTTTGTACAAGAAGCAAACAACCTTACAGACTTCCCTATCATTTGCCTCAGGATGAGTCAAAACACTACAATATAAACACATTTGTCTGCCACATGTTTTGAGAAAAATCATAACTGCAGTGGAGATAACTTACCAAATAAACTTTTAATTTCAGAATCAGGAACATAAAATGGTGGACCTGGAAAAAAAAGGGAAAGCTGAATTGGCAAAAGTCACAATGACCCTTCTAATATAACAATGAAGCAAACACTGACCAAATACAAGGGAAAATATAAAAAAATATATATAAAATATAAAAAAAATTATTCTAGGTTATTAATTATAAGACTTTTTCTTTCAACAACAATTACTTAGTGTAGTTAAAAAGCAGTGGAAAACTTATTTGTATTAAGTTAATAATTATCAAGGAAAACTTAAGGAGCTTCTGGGTTTAATAAAAATAATTAATCAGCCTGATGTAATGATACTTAATGCTTACATAGAGCTTTTCATCTTCAAAGCATTTACAAACATTCGTTAATGAATTATCATAACACCTGTGAGGTAGCCATGCTACAGTAAATTGGGCAATAATTCCTGATTTTAGGTCATGAGGTACTGAAAATCCTGAGTTAGCATCCATCAAAAATATAATATGATTTTCAGATAATGGGGGTGCAAGTGAGGGAGCAATGTTAGGGTAGGGGAAGGGTGCCAAGGAGGTGGACACAGCAGAAGGAGATAAACAGGACACACTATACATTATACAAAAAATAGCGAAGGCAACGTTGTTTTGCATTTTGTTTCACAATTCACCCCCACACACACCCTCAAAAAAACAAAACCCTTTGAATTGAGACCACGCATGAAAAGTGTCTGCCTTGTAGGAATTTTCCCCCCAAAACTGAGAAGCAAGTGGAAACAGGGTTATAAACAAATTTACATACTCCCCCCCCCAAAATCAAATCACAAACTTTTGCTACTGTGAATGCCAAAATATAGTTAAACAGAAAAACATACTAAATCTGAGCACCAAGCCTGTTGACACGAACTGAGGCAAAATTGTTACCGTGTGTGTGTGTGTGTGTGTGTATAAATTCATTAGTGTAAAGGTAAAAAATTATTTTACTTAACTTCTAAACAAAATGATTCAAAGTTCTTACCTTTATGTTTATTTGAATCATATAAAACAGTAACCAAGAGATAACAACAGCTTCTCTTCATTAGAGACAACATCAAATTGGCATAGCTAAAAATAAAAAATAAATATTTGCATTTGTGATTATTTTGTAAATATATGGTACATAGAGTACTCAAAATGTTCAGCAAAAAAGAAACATAATGTATTCCTATGCAGAACAGTTCAAATGCATCTTTGAAATACACATAAACTAATTTAACTGAGGTACTTCTAATGTAAAATTCCATGCAGTAAACATGCAACATGAAATCCTAAATAAAATTAATAAAAATCTACCTTATGCACATGTACACACACACCATTTTTTAATATGAACTAACAAAAACAAGAAAATGTAAAGCTGAGATAGTATTTAAGTCTGCAATAGTCTATAGTTACTGTAGAATGGCCTATACAGTATTGATTTTGTTAATTCTTGGCTTTTTTTTTTTAAAACAAAGTAAGGGCCATGTATTCAACGTAACTTAATGTCCAGTAGTAGGGGTAGGGTGAAAAGAGAGGGTCATGGGAATGATTGGAGAAGGGAAATAAAGGGGAAAAGGAGAATAAAGAGGATGGAGTGAGGCTGAAAAGGCTGAAAATGGTAGAGGCCAAAAACAAAACAAACAAACATGGAAAGCAAAGAGTAAAAGTAAAATTCAGATCTGCATCCTGCTCTGTGCAAATCTACCACTAGAAGGGAACAGCAGCTTTAGGTATAGAACACAATAAGCAACATACAGTAGAACCTCAGAGTTCTGAATGAACACCTCGGGAATGGTGGTTGTTCGTAAATCTGAAATGTTCATAATTCTGAACAAAATGTTATGGATGTTCTTTCAAAAGTTTACAGCTGAACATAACTTTACCATGCAGAAGAAAAATGCTGTTTTTAATCATCTTAATTTAAATTAAATGAGCACAGAAACAGTTTCTTTATCTTATAAAAAATGTTTTTTAAACCTTCCCTCTTTTTTAATAGTTTACATTTAACACAGTACTATACTGTATTTGCTTTTTTTTTTTGGGGGGGGGAGGGGGTGTCGTCTCTGCTGCTGCCTGATTGCATACATCTGTTCCAAATGAGGTGTGTGGTTGACTGGTCAGTTGTAACTCTGGTGATCTTAACTCTGAAGTTCTACTATACTGTCCTTATGCCAATGGTATTATTTGCATTGGTGAGACCATTTCCGGAAGGGAGCTCTGTGATTCAGAACACAGTGTTCAGTAACTCTAGTCGCCCCACGTGGCAAAGAAGGACTGGCTTGGATTACTCAGAGTTTAAGCTAAGCGAGGAATGGCTGATTAGTCAGTGCCAGGAAGATAGGCTGTACCTTTCACAACATATCAGAAAGAAAACAGTCATAAAATAAATACATTACTTACTGTTCTCTATCACATGGGTTAATGGCTACTAGAGATCCTCTGTCCCAAATCCCATCAAACCTGCCAGCAATTGTGCTACAAATAGGGGGTGGGGGGAAAAGAGATTTTATATTAAAAACTAAAATGATCTTGTTTTTTATAATTTGACTGAGACACTTTTGCAAAAGAAGTGAAAAATTTCTGATAAGCTGTGCATATACATAGAGGGCTGATATGCTCTTATGGTCTGGCCCCTTTATGCTATAAAACATTTTGAAATGGGCCTCAAGGAACATTTCCTGTGTAGAGGCCTTCTCTGGGTGCCACAGACATGGTGGAATGATTCTGTTGCCCTTTGGCAAGGGGGTGCCAGGGGCAAGAAGAGATCTAGTTTGAGCACCGCTGTTCTTGGTTATGAGGCAGTTTCAGGCAGTCATAATATATAGAAACTCTGGGGATACCACTAATTTATGCCAAGGACTGCAGCAATCCTTGGGCACTTCCAGATCCAAGAGGGTCACAGAGGTGGTTCAAAGCAGTTCATGCCATTCTCCTCAATGTGCACTAAGCTCAGCTCACCTGCAACTCAGAATCAAGACCCAAACGTATGCCCCAGATGTTTATTCTGAGGTATCTTTTCACTTGAGAAGAGCTAAGACTCATTGCTGCTTGCTTTAATCCAACAAATTGATCAGGACTATTTGTGTTGGCTGATGTGGCACTGGCAGCCAAATTCAGTTTGATAAAGTCTACTGCTAAAGAGAACTGTCCTCAGTAGTTGCCGGTGGGAATTAGCAGGGTGACATTAGGTAAGTTTTCCTTCAGGTAAATATGAAAATTGTGATTTAGTGTGCCGTGTAACAATGGAGTAAGTGACATAATTCCAAAGAAGAGTTTAAAATAAATTTGCCTTAAAACAAAAAATATGTGATATCCTGAAATTGTGCAGCAGCTTTCCACCTGATACTGGGCTTCATTTCAGAGTCCACTAACATCAAAAATCACACTTTCTTCTGTTGTTGTTTTAAGCACAACATCATCAAGTTTTCGGCTTCTGACCTGAAACCCTGTCCTGTATTTCTCTGTCTGATGCAATGAGACATGAAAGATTTTAAAAGCTTGTTTTCTTTTAAAGGTCTGCAAGGAGAGGAGATCACACCACTTTGCCTTCTACATGCACTTACAATTGGCTTTTAAATAGAACATCTCACAACCAAGACATGATATTTAAGAGCCGGCAATGTAAGTGGGGGGGGGGAGGGGAAGCATAGTCTCGTGAACACAATCCTAGATTTGGATTAATGAGATTTGGGTTCCATTTCCACCTCTGCCATTGGCCTGCTGTATGGCCTTGGGGAAGCCACCTCACCTCCTTGTGCTTCTGTTTTTCCTCCCACCTCTTAACTGTACTGTCTACTTAGACAGTAAACTCTTTGGGGCAGGTGCTGTTTCCCACTGTGTTTGTACAGCACCTAGCTGTGCAAGGGCCCTGATCTTGGTTTGGAATTCTAGGCACTACTGTAATACAAATGATAATAAATAAAACAATCGTTTATATCAGGGATGGGCAACTTTAAGGCAGTAGAAGGCCATAAAAACCACTAAAACCCTTTGGGATGATGGGGTATGTGACACAGGTGTGTGTGTGTCATGTCCTGCACCACCCCTGGGAGCTGTGATGCGGGGAGGGGGAGGAGGGGTAAGGAGAGGAGTCAGGCCAGGCCCTATCCCTGGAGGCATGTGACACAAGGGTCTGGGTGGTTGAGGGGTAAGGTCCTGCCCCTGTGTGGTGAGAGGGCCCAGGAGGGTTGGCTGGAGAGTGAGCCTACTCTCCACTCACCCTGGCAGAGGTGGCTCCCGTCCCACAGGGCTGGGCCTAGCTCCTCGCTCCAGCCCGCTGTTCTTGCCACAATGTAATGTTATGGAACCCTCCCTAGTGATGCCTTGCCCTCTTCCTGCCCTTGTCTCTGCTGGATCTCCTGCCCTAAGCTGTCCTGTGATGGGCCAAATAAAATGATGTGGCAGGCCAGATGTGACTCCTGGGCCATCCCTGGTTTAAATACTGTCTTTAGGCCCAATCCTGAAGATTAAATTCAAGCAAAAATCCCACTGATTTAAGGCAATATTTGCCTGAATAAGGGCTCAGGACTGGCCATAAAACCCATAAGTGTGTTTAGTAAGTACACAGATTATAGCACTCAGAATTGTTATGAGCCACAATTGATTGCTTAGTTTAACTGCTTTAGATACAACACAGCATTCCTGCAGAGTAATAATTCCTGTTACTCATTAACTAGCAAAAAAAGTCTGACACAGGGCATGAACACATCTAGGTTCCCCTGCCCAAATTATGTTCTGAATTTAGAACAAAAGTGACTGATCACAGGCCAGCCAAGGCAAGCGTGAAATAAGCTTAACTGCCGTAGTTACTAACCGAGTATTACCCATATTGCATGTGGACAGAAGCCACAATAGTATTGATGCATTTCTATACTCAAAGGAGTCTTCCAGTTGTTGTATTGACAGAAAGATGTTCACACTTTCATCACTCTTTTAGAACATTGCATAAGAGCATCTTATTCAAAAACAAAACAAAATGGGAATGTAGAGGAAAATTCACAACACATGCATGTGACTCCAGTTTATTTTGTCCTCTGTAGATAACAGACCACATCTCCTCACTATTTGGTCTAGTGAGTCCCACTGACAGCACTGCTAATGTGTTACATATTTTGTTTTGCTCTGAAACATAATTCCATATTGGTATGATGGAGGTTATACATTTTGCCATGTTACTTACAACTATATTTAAAAATCATTAACATTTTAAAAAATTGCTGACAATAAGCTTGAACATTTTCTGGCTGTGTATCCGACGATAGCTAGAAAGTTTTAAAGGTGCTTGTTGTGCAAGCAGCAACATTGTCTAAATCTTTTTCTACCTTGTCACTTTGGATGGAACAGAGATATTTTTTATATTAAAACTTCCATTCTTGCAAGGCCAGCTTAATCACACAAACAAAAGAGAATCAGCTAAGTCAGCAAAAGGTTTAGTGACCATCTGTTATGTTAATAACTTTGGATATTTTACCCAAAATATAAAATATCTGAGAGCCAACACCACATTCCAGTCTCCAAGTCTACAAATTATGCCTTCTCTCTACTAGCTCTGACACTCTTATCATTTACAAAGATAAATGATTGATTTCCTTAATAGTTCTGTAAAGCTATGGGTCAATACTGCTCACATTAACAGCCTGCTCCTGAGGTTCATATTGAGGCAAAACTAACCAATCCTAGAGGGAGTTTTATCTAAAGAAGAACTGCAAGACTGGAAAAAGAAGAACAGGAGTACTTGTGGCACCTTAGAGACTAACAAATTTAATAAATTTGTTAGTCTCTAAGGTGCCACAAGTACT